AGTATTTGATGCTTATTCTTTACTGTGTTGTATGTGAAAAATGCCAATGTTTTGATAAAACTAGCAGTTGCATAACGTTGCTGGCCCTTGCCAATAATTGCTAAAACTTCGAATTGACTGAAAATGATGTCACTAACGCTAACTTGAATAGATTTGGTTGTATAGACTTGTCTTGTCTCGTTTGTGGTGTTGCAGGGTTCTTGCCCATGTGAAGTGGACGATCAGAAAATTGTAGTCCTAACCAGAGGCTTGATGAAAAGACTTGATCATTATGTGAAGTGAATCCCCACGCAGGTCGCGCTTCATTTCCCGAAGCTAAGATGACAATGTTCTTTACTGAAGGAAGGACAATTTCCCCAGCCAGTCGCAGCTTATCCCAAAGGGTATTCTCCAGCAGGTCAAGATTGAGGCTCGCCACAGGATGTCTATCCCCAGTCCCGAGTATGTAAACTGTAGCCAGATGGTTTACTTTTCCCAGCGGGGTTGTTTACCCTCAGCAGAATTTGATGACTCCAAAATACGTAAGCTGTATTCAGACAGTGGTGGTTCTCCAAAAGGATTCCTTATCTTCAGCAGAGTTATTTAGCTTTCAGAGAGTTGTAAACTGTGTTCAGACAGTTATTCTCCCCAGTAGGGTTGTTCATTCTCCCCAGCGGAGTCGGTTAATATTTCCCAAGAGAGTCGTTTCTTCCCCAGCGGAGTTTTCTCTCCCCAGCAGGTGTCTTCTTTCCTCCCAGTGGAAATGGAAGGTTTAAAGCTCTCCACGGCAGAGTTCGTTCTTTCCTCCCAGTGGCAATGGAAGGCTTAAAGCTCTCCCCGGCAAAGTTTGTTGTATGTCATGGCATTTATTTTGCCGGAATACTTGGTGGCAACCGTTCCTTCCCCAGCAGGGTAGTATTTGTCCTCAGCATCCGTAATGAAGCGAGCTTATTCGAGCTGTTCCCGGCAGCCCGAACCTGCATTTGCATTTGCATGCATTATCATGTTTGCATCCATCTAGAAAACGCGTAGCATTTCCATGCTGTATGGAACATTACACCATTGTCAAACATGCGCATTTTGAAACATAAATCAGGTTGGTTAACCTTTTGCTTTCAGGTGTGTTTCTCAACAGGAGTATGGAGTTCTAAAGCTCAGGGGTCTTTTTAGATAATCAAAGTCTTGACGTGAGACATACGATGATGCGATTCAGTTTATTATCATCCCCACAGAGTTAATGATTGAGGTTTTCTCGTGTCCGATCAGCGGACTGTTTTGTCAGGTTTGCTGCTGCAGTAGCATCTCAGGGTTCCATGTATCAAAATTTCAGAAGTGGTCTCTTATTGTCAGGACGGGTGTCGGCCATTGGATTTCAGAATATCCCCAGCTATGTTGATAGAATTTATTCGTGTTAGCGAAGTTTGATTTCTCCGTGTTGACGGAATATGGAGTCCTGATGAGGACATATTATGCCTATGTTGATAGGATTTCTCCGTGTTGACGGAATATAGAGTCCTGTGGAGGACCAAGATTACTCTCCCCGTGATGACGGAATATGGAGTCCTGATGAGGACGAGTTCTCTCCGTGTTGACGGAATATGGAGTCCTGATGAGGACAATCACTACAAGAAAATAGTCATTTTGCGACACTTAGATTGCGACAGTTGAAGTACAACCGTCACAATATACCATTTTATGAATTTTTGCGACAGTTCACACGACAGTTTTGACAACTGTCGCAATCATTTAATTGGTTTTTAGGCTACCAAGTAGTTAAATTATTCCTATAAAAAAAGTAATTAAATTTATATAACCATGCAAAATAACATCTATCTTCTAGTTAATTTTGAATTTTTAATAATTACTAATTTTTTATGTTGTGCATTTTACCCAAAACTTTTTATATTTCTTATAAAACAAACATCAAATAGTTTCTTATTTTAAAAATAATTATAATCAAATTTTTAAATAGTTGATTTTATTTTATAATTTATAATATTCATACTTAAATAAACATAAAAAATATTACAATTAATAATTAAAATATTTAATTATAGCAGTAAAATTGTTTAGAAAAAGTTCATTAAAAAATATAAACTATTTTATTAATCCAAGAAAAAAAAGTTAATTTAAAAATAATATATTAATTGATAATTATAGAAAAAAGTACAAATTGAACTTCATATTCATATCTCTTGATGGTGAAGAATCTGACCTCGCTGAAATTTTGCGACCGTTTTCCACCTCTGTCGTGTTCTTCTTTACTAATCTTTCAATTCACGTGGCTATGATTCTACTACTTCTAATTTCTACCGCGCTTTTGTTTTCTTTTAGAATCGTAAACCCTTGTCATTTTTTCATCCAATTTGAAACCATATTCCATTTTCCTAAAATTGCAAAAAGCACTTATTTGATCTAATCTCATAATTGCAAAATCATTCTTCTCCCGTATCTCATGTACAAAGAAACTCAGTGAAGGTGCATTTTATTTATGTTTTTATGTTTTTTATTCCTCTGAAGAAATTTGTTTCAATTTGGGATTTAGGGTTTATTTGTTTTAATGCCCATAGAATCATTTATCGATTTTGTTTGTTTTGATTTTAGGATTTAGGTTTTGTCTCTTTTATTTCCAAACTACTAGTTCGATGGGTACCAACTGTTCGATGAAATTCCTAAATAATTATTCATGTTTTTTTTGCAGGTGGAGATTACTCAATATATTTTATATTGATGGAGAGGTGAATTCGGTGAGTACAAAATGCTATAACTGTGAATGAATTTTTTGGTAATAGCTGGAGAAAGGTAATGTGAATCAAATGGTTAAGAAATCATATGATATATAATTCAATGAGATTTTTGTATAAGATGAATTTCCTTGAATGTTGCAGGTAATTCCTAATTCCAATGAAACATTAGGAGTATTGATACTAAAATCTCGCTTATTTTTCCCACAAGCTTATTGGTATTAGACTGGAATTGGAGCTTTGGTTGGTTATCTTTTTCTATTTAATTTTTTCTTTGCCTTGGCTTTGCAATATCTCAGTTGGTTATCCATTATGTCATTATTTGATGGCAGTATTGGTGTAGCTTTGGTAGGGCCTGCTTCCCCAAACAGCCCTCTTGCTCCAAGTGTATCTGGTTCAAGCTCACATGAAGGTGTTTTTGCAACTAGTACAAAAGTATCGTTAGATGGAAAACCGAGTTACTCTAATGGAAATTCTATTATGATTGAGGTTTCAAACTTAAATAAAGTCAAAGAAGGCTATACTGAGGAATCACTTTAGGTATGTTCATCAGGTTCCTTCTGATTGTTTTTGTATTCTCCATAGGATTTTTGGATTCTCTATGCCTCAGCAACATTAATGCTACTACTTCATCATCACTTACAAATTCTTCAAATAATACTAATAACCCTGAAGCCAAATGCATGGAACATAACAAAACCTATGAAGAAGCATAACATTTCTTTTCATTGAATTATGCATGCCCCCTAGAAAAACACCAATAAATGAAGCAAGAAAACATATAGAGAAAATAAAATCATAATAAATAAAAATAAAGTATAGAATATGGAGGATTTTATAGAACAAGGATTATATTATATAATTTTTTTGTTTTGTAACAAGAGTTTTGTTCTATTTTTTAAGTGTGGGAGTGAAATAGAATCCATATAGACAATAAAAAAATAAGGGTTGGGGAAAAGATACTATAGGACTAAGATATTCATAAGTTTTGGAACATTTATTTTATGAATGTCATTGTCTTTATTCTATTTCAATTGGTTATTTTAAGCTTTATTTACACTGTTTTTGAAAAGAGTTTGCAAATAAATATAATATTGAAGTGTCACTAATATGGAACTTTTTTTCTCTACAGTATGGTGTCACTGTGTCAGCAATTCAATTAGATAGTTTAACTAAGAATTTTATTTGAGTTTAGTTTAGACCTTTTTGATTGGAGGTTGGTAATGGTTTAATTCCACAACCACCAAAATAAGTACTAAATTATGATAAAGTGTCTTGTCTTGCAAAATATTTTCATAGAACATATCTTGAATTATAATTAGAAAATTATATGGTTTTAGTTTTGATTTTGGTTGCTAGGTATCATCTAAACAATATAACATATAGATTTACGTAATAGGGAGATGAACATAGGCTTGCTGGTTTCTCAGCAACTTTGCAAGCAATCATTTCCTTTGTTGGAAATGGGTATTATAGATGGCTTAGTTTTGGTTAATTATAGCTTTATAGATTTTAATTACAAAAGTATTCTTCAATGTATTTGATTCCTTATCTGAATGTAATTTGAGAAGGATTGTTCAAATATTTATTTCTATTTTTTCAGGGATGACCATATTTTTTCAGGGATTACCGTATTGTTTCTAAGAATTCTTTCTTACTCAAATGAAAGAATCCTAACAAAATATTATTAATTCCAATTTTCTTTAAAGATAATATTCTACAGAATTTGGCTCATCCTAACAGAACAGTAGAGTGGAAAGTGTGGAATTATATAACCTTTCATAAAAAAATTAAAGGAATGAATCTTCATAGCTTGCGATATTTATGCATACATTTTATCCATATTTTTGTCTTTGATATTTCAATTGTCTAAGTGTTCTCTTCTCCTTAAGAGGATCCAACTTCTTTTTTGTATGTCTTCCTAATCTCTGAAATTAATACAATTTCTGTCTATTCAGCTTATTGACAATGTCCCAATATTGCAAATTGACATGGTATGGTGCTACTTTATGCTGCGAGACATTAGATGGCTATCAGATGCTGGGAAGCGCCTTGAAATGGCTAGGGTAGGAATTGGACTTGCTCATGGGAAGGATTCTCTCCGCCTTAGACTCTTACAAGGTGGTCGCTATCCAGAACTTGCATTGTGAGTTATTTCGGTGGATTGTTCATCTTTTTGTTGCCTTTGAAATTATCAAATTATTGGGATGCAACTAAAAGTAGATTAGTTATCAGTATTTGTTTGTTAATTTTTAAGTTGGCTGAATATTTGTACACATGCATTTGAGACTAGAGCTTCTTGAAGGGGTGGTGGCATTTCATACTGGCCAGTTGGAAAAATCAAAGCAAGCATTAGCTTCTGCAAGGGAAAAGTTTGTTCAGGTGGGTTGAAGTATTATAGCATATTGTAATAAATTTGAGTAGGATAAAAATCAACATTTATGCATATTCTAGTTGTTGGTCTCCTTATTTGGTCTTGCAATAGTTGATAGCGGTCCTATATATAATAGTCTTTAGGAGATTATAGGGTCGAGTCATGGATTCATTGTTTTGAAAATGTAAAATAAGATTGCCTGCAATAGACTCATAATGAGCCTAACTCTCATATAAAATGTTCTCTTGTGTTGCAGCTGCAAGTGCCAGATGAAGCCTTATCACTTGTTCTGTTGCATTCTACAGGTCTATTCACCTATCAGCACAGGACATACGCAGAAGCCATCAAGAAAGTGATTGCACAATCCATTGCAAGTTAAAAGGTTTAAGCAAAACCATTCAATGGCAATGCCAGAAGGGCAGTGTTACATACCCAAGTACCTCACATTATATATTACTGTTTTTGAATTTTTACATATATGGTAAATTTAATGTAGAGCTTTGCACTGGTAAACAAGTTATGGCATTTTTCATACATAAAGGAAAATTGTCCATTTGACTTGGTTGATTTTTGCAGTGTCCACGGAGGCTTCAAAAGGCAAATTACTCAAAAGCATGCAATGCTCTTCTGCTCAAGGTACTCTCATTCTACTTGTGAATTTTTCCATATAAGTTATTGAGTCTGGATAGATAAATATATTGATACACTATTGCTTGACATACATGTATCAATATAGTGCATTATCTCAGTCAACCATTGTGCCATGAGTCTATCACCACCACAACCCCATGTCCATTTTAATATAAGAACTTTTCCATTTTGTTAATTGTATCTTGATTAGGATCAAATTAATATTGGAGCTCCATGCAGGTTAGAGCATATCACCAAGTATAACTAGGTTAGTGTTTGTTCATTACATTAGGTGCAATTTACATTGTTAAGCTTAATCAAGTTCTAAATGTTTGTAACTCATTTGGAAGCTCTTAGAATTGACTCTCCTATCTACTCTTTTTATTTTAAGAAAATGTAAGAATGCTAATATGTATTAACCTCTATTTTGTGGCAGTGTATTGATCCTTGGCTTGGTATAAAATGGTCGGGCCTATTGTGCAAATCATCTATCACCTAGTGATGCCTATGATTTAAATAAAAAATTTATCCTCCTAAGATATATTGTTTTATCTGTCTCAATTTATCTTTCAAACAAGGTAAATAGAAGCATTAACAATTTGTTTTTGCTTACGAGTTGAAATTGTAACAAGGACGCACTTTCTTTTTCAAAGTTTTTTATTTTTTGTCTTAGATATTGTATACATGCTATGTGTGATGTGGTTAAAAAATTAGAGAACGCAAGGATTGAAAACTTTTTAATGTTTGTGTTTATTGTGTGAATATCATGAAAAATGATGATTGCCATTAATGTAACCTACAAAAGTTGTATTCTGAATCCTAAACTGAGTGCAGTTTTTTTTTTAAAAATGTTTGCAACTTGCGGCGGTTCAAACCGCCACAATATACCATAGATTTTAAAAAAAAAAACATATTTGCAACTTGCGGCGGTTCAAACCGCCACAATATACTTTCACAATAAAACAAAAATCATTAAGCAAGTTAAGACGGTTGGAAACCGTAACAATATGGAGATTACGATAGTTAGCTACCGTTGTGAAAATAACGACGATTTTTGTACGACAGTTTTCACAACCGTCGCAATACGGCCTCGCGACGCACGTTTCTGCGACAGGATGGAAACTGTTGTAACTTTCAAATTGCGACGGTTTTAACCGTCGTAATCTGCCAAAATCACCGTCGCAATTTGCCAATTTTCTTGTAGTGAATTTAGGCCTATGATGATAGGATTTATTCGTATTGACGAATTACTTCTCCATGATGATGGAATATGGAGTCCTGTTGAGGATGAAGTTTGATTTCTCCGGGTTAATCGAACATGGGGTCCTAATGAGGACGAGTTCTCTCCGTGTTGACGGAATATGGAGTCCTGAGGAGGAAAATCTACGCCTATGTTGATAGGATTTGTTCGTGTTGACGAATTACTCTCTCCGTATTGACGGAATGTGCGTCCTGGTGAGGACAATTTATGCCTATGTGGATAGGATTTCTTCGTGTTGACGAAATGTGAGTTCAGAGAGGTACAAGAATGGTATTTCTATGATGATAGGATTTATTCATGTTAATGAATCTATTTTCCTCGTGTTGACGAGATGCGGATAACACATCCCCTGTGGAGTCGACAAGTTTTATCTCTCCATGATGATGGAATATGGAGTCTTGCTGAGGATAAGTTTGAAAAGTAATGATAAGGGCAAGTTGTATTCCTATGATGATAGGATTTCCTCGTGATGACGAATTTATGGCTTCTCGTGTTGACGAAATTTAAGGGCAATTGTGGATAAGATTTTTCCTGTGATGGTGGGATCTTTGCTCGTGTTGACGAATTTGTTTCTCTTCTTGTGTTGACAAGGTTAGTCCAGTTGTGGACAGAGGAGTTTTTGCAAAGATAGTTCAGTACCCGTGGTGCTACATGGGTGGTGATAGTCAAAATCAGAGTTATTCCCCGACGAATGATCTGTTGTTACCATAACAATCGGGTTCACTCGGCGAATGTCGTTCCCCAAGCAGTGGTGCAGTTTATTTCTGCGGTTGGCAAATTTCAAAGTTTCTTTGGTATTCAACCGTCTCGTACCTCGAATATTCGAAGGCCATTCGCTCTTCACCCAGTCGGGTCCAAGCCGCTTGAATAGGGGCAACTGTTGCACCCTGTAATACCCCAAATTTTGCCCTAAGATTTGTCGTCGCATTTCATTGCATTTTTATTGCATTTAATCAATTACTAACAAATTTGTGTAGTCGTTTGACTTTTTGCAGGTAAATATCATATGGCATGCATTTTTTTCCTAAAAAGTAAAAATGGCACAATTGGCAGGAGGACATGTGTAAGGAGTTATGAGTGTGAGAGGTTGAGAGTTCGAATCTCACCTTTGTCACTTTTTTTTTGTTGTTTTTTATTATTTTTACTCTAAATTTTTCTATCTTTCATTAAAAAAATAACAAAAATAGTTTTTTATTATTATTTAATTATTATTTTTGTATTTTAATTAAATCATTTTTTAAAATATTATTTTTTTCACTTTTTTCTAAATTATTCATAAAAATATCCAAAAAATCATAAAATAAAAAATATTGAAAAAAATTTTGTTCTTTTTATAATATTTTTGATTTTAGGAATCAATAGGATTATTAGTTTTTATTTTAAGTTTATTTTAATTATTTTAAATTATTTAAATTTTATTTTTTTCTTAACTAATTATTTAGTTTGGGCTTTAAAATGGGCTTTAGGGACATTATTGACAATTTGGTGTTAACCCTAATTTGTTCCCTATATATACATGTGTTGCCTTGTTGGAAAAAAGGGGGAGAATGAAAAAAACCTAAGAGGAGTGAGTGTCGTTTGCTGTTATTTATTTTTCTTCTTCATCCATTACTATTGTTTCTTTTTCTTCATCGTTTACCGTTATTTCTTTTCCTTCATCTATTACTGTTGTTTCTTTTTCTTCATCTTTTACCGTTATTTCTTTTTCTTCATCTATTACCGTTATTTCTTTTTCTTTATCTATTACTGTTACGTTTATATATATATAATTTTTAAATTGTTAGAGTTTATATATATAAGATTAATTTTTGATCGAATTATGTCGATACGATGTTTGCACATTTGTGTGCATGACGCGTGACATTTGTGTTAGTTCGATCTGGTTGCGATGATCGCATTTTTGTGTGAGCAATAATACTATTTTTTGCTTAATTTCTTTTTCTTTGCGATAAATTTTGTTTCGTCCGATTTAGATCTGGTTGCGATGAGCGCATTTCTGCGTTAGCAACATTGTTGGGTTATTTGGCACATTTAAAATTCATTATTGCTTTATTATTATTATTATTATTATTATTATTATTATTATTATTATTAGTATTATTATTATCATTATTTATTATTATTATCATTATTATTACCATTATTATTATTATTGTTATCATTAATTTATTAAAACTTGTTATAATATAAAAATCTGTTTTTTAAAATAAATAACATTAACATCTTTTCCAAATTAATATGAAAACCTATTATTTTTAAGAAAAACTTTTTTAGATAAATTTAAAATGATAACTAAAATTTTTTTTTTTAAAATAATAACTAGAACCGTTATTTATTTTATTTTATTATTGTTCAATTCAAATTTCATTATCATATTGTATCTGCTCCTCTCATGTAACCTCGCGAACTTAACAATCGCTCTTTAAATTCTGCCTTTAAATTTCTGCTTGCATGGTTTAAATTATGACATTATCTCTCTGTTTGCATGATTCAATTATCTCACGCGTTTACCATTATTTCTGTCACATTGCACACATCCGAAGGTTAGGTCTAACTGTTTGGCCGCCGCGCCAATAGTCCATAAACCCTCATACATTCAAACCCTCAAAATTACACCCTTACAAACCCTAATTTTCACAAATGCCTCGCCGTAGGCAAAATTACAATTTTACCCCTAGCATTAGGTCAAAGAGTCGTCGCGCTCATTTTAGGGTTTCCCGCCGTGGAATCCCTAATTTAACCCTAATTACAACTTAACATTTCAACGTAGAGATTTGGAGTTTCTACACTCCACGTAAGCGTGTCCTTAAGATGCGTTTATTCCCCGTGAGACCTTGACCACAGTCAAGAAGTCTCTAACCTCCCTTTTGAGGGGAACTACGATTACTCTGATTCCACTCCCGTAAGGATACGTAGGCACAAGATGCGATGTCTTGCCGAGTAAACTTAGAATTAACCCCTTAGGTCTCTTTTCTCACTTTTAATCCTTTGTACATATACCTTAAGCAAATAAATAAAGCAAATAGTAAACATCTGAACAAAAGGTTCCTGTAGAGTACTACAGAAGTTTAGGGTGCTAATACCTTCCCTAAATTTAACCAACCCCCGAACCCTAGATCTTTCCCCGCATTGTGTTTACGATGCAAAATAAGTTTTCCCTCTTTTGACCTTTTCCTTCGGATAAATCAAAGAGCGGTTGTGAATTGAATTGCGATTCAAACTCATTAATAGTTTGTGATCCTATTTCCACCGCAACAGAAAATGGCGACTTCACTGGGGATGTCTTAACTTTTGAGGGTTATCCCTAATTTGTTCATATTTATTACCATTTGCTTTGCTATTCATTTGCATGTATATATTGTACTTTGATTTTGGGGACTGTTCCTTGTGTTGTGAGATAAGTCCTACGCCCGGACTAGTGACATTATTATAGGATGGGGATATATTCGATGAGGCTTATAGGGAGTGAATCCCGACCAAGCTGATTC